GCTTTATACATGACCTGCAAAATATTATAATCAACTAACTCACAAAATTTTAATAATTTCAATTGATAAAATAATAAAAATCTAAACGTGACCCAGGACTTTTCAGTAAATCGTACTGTCAGTTCGTCAGTTAAATAGTTTTCTTCATGTTTAGCTCCCCTGAAGTGTTGAAGCAAAGGTATGGAATCACCAACGACCTGAAGATTGTGTTGTCCATGACTTCAACACCAGGTCCAGAGTCGACAGCCTTCAGTAATCAGGTAAACTGTTTCAATTCAACAAACAAGCTTTGATTGTGAAATACATCAGTGGAATGTGTGTCATCATGTTTAAAATCTAGAGCTGAATCAGAGATATCAAGTGTTGTGTTTAATTTTAGGAGAACGTTCCAGAAGAAGGTTCTGGACCTGACTTGGATCTGAGTAAAATAAGCCCCCCCAGTGCTGCTACCAGCCCCCCCAATGGTTTGTTTTACTTTTACTCCACAATTCCTGCTTCAGTCAGACAAAAAAAGACAAACTCTTCTTTTTAAATTGATTTGTTTTTATTTTAATGTTTCATTTTATTTGTGTTGTGTCATCCAGAGTCTGCAGCTGTGTACCCCATCTTTGGTTCTGTGTCTAAAAGGTGAGGTGTTGTTTTATTTTAAACCCTAATAGCTCAACACAGTTTTCTGTTGGTGGTAAAATTAAAGTATCACTTGTTGTTTCACCTTTTTGTCTTTTGTAGGACAAAGGCGTCAGCTCTGCGACACACTTCCTGCAGCGCCCCCTCTGGTTCCTTGGTGACATCACTGCAGACCACCTCTGCAGCCGTGAAGGAACGAAGCCTTCGCCGGAGGAAGGAGAAGCAGGCCAGTGACCAACTCATCATMGTGAGTTTATTATTTTAGTTTTAGTTTGAACACCCTGCTGAAATTATAACGAAGAAATCTTTGGCTAAAACCTTTAGAAAACAGCAGCGTTCAGCATCTTATTCTGACACTGTGAGCCTTTTACTGTTTGTCCAGTTTTTACTTTTACTCCTGGGGTTTAAAACCATCAACATATGTACAAAACCTGCTTCCACAAAGGTAAATGATAATGACGCCTTAAAATGTTGAATTTTGTTTCTTTTTAGCTGGAAAATCTCAATCAAATATAACTAGAGGTTTCCTCTTTATAAGGACATCAAAAACTCCTCATTAAAATGACATAAAATTAGGATTCAGACCAAATATTTCTGTATTATTGTAACCAACAAGACAAATTAAGTCATATATATGGATTTAATTATGA